AGAGGTGGCAAGGACCGCTGTCGGGGTGCCCCGACAAGGACGAGTCCTCCACGTCCGCCTCTGTTTCCCCCGCGATAGTCACGGCCTCCATCGCGGTCCGTCTGCAATTCCGTAACAATCACGTTGTTTGGCGTCAAACACAAATCTTCGATCAATCCTCGATCCCCGTCGAAAGATCGGCAAACAAATTAGTGAAACGCACGTCCAACTCTTGAAATCGGTAATCAATCTGTTGAAACCGATCGTTGAAGGTTGCATCACGTTGTTTGTTTGCGGCATCTTCTCGTCCCGGCGACATCGCGATCGTACTGACTGCTGATACCAACTGATGTAGGGAAAGCTTACGAATGGGAAGGATACAATACGAGTAAACGAGATACTCTCTCGTAAAACACGCAAACTCACGATATCAATTTCTATTTCATTTTCAACTAACTAAAACAATATATGATGAGCCCTTTAAATAAGACTCCAAAACCCTATTCCTAACTTGTCCAACAAGACAAGATCTCTAATAATATTTAATTCCTAACTTATTCACCAAGATACCTAATAATAATAATAATAATAATAATAATAATAATAATAATAATAACAATCCTAATATTTAAGGCCTTATCCACATCAGAAAGCTTCGGAGGGAAATAATCTTTATTATGAAGATGAACTGTCTTCTGCTGAGGATGTAATAGTGGAGGTTCTTGATGTAATGAAACTGAAAGATTTAGAAGGCTAGAATAGAATGCAGAGTATTCTAATTAGATTGGATTTTTTTTTTTTTTTTTGGCTCGCTGCTAAAGACAGTTTCTTGGAAAGTATAATATCTTGAGTCAATGATTTATCTTATATTTTTGTATTTATTTCTTATTTGTCTATATGATAAAGTTTTAGATAATTATTATTTAGGGAACAAGGTTGTGCAACGACAATTATGGTATGTCTTTGAAGTATTATCGTAATAAGTTTGAAGTCTTTTTTTTGGTAACTGTAGAAATTTTATAGAAGAAACACATAAAAACATTTAGAAAATAGCCCGACAGCAGAATAAAGTAGTTTTAGAGTCAAATCTAGTGGAAGGACAGATTCAAAGATCGTTTAGAACTACACTAGAACAATACAAAACAAACGCACCCACAAACAGAAAAAAAAAAAAAAAAAACTTCACAATTGGATAATATCTAACTCCACAATTGGATAATAGAACTCACCGACGGGAGAATGCAAACTACCCTATGGGAGAGTAACACAAAACGCAAAAACCAAAGCACGAGAAAAACACAAAAACACGAACCTCACAACACACAAATACAAAAGTCCACTGCAAGTCCATTCCCACTACAACGCAAAGAGAGTCGGATCTCCCGAATGATGACCAGGACGGGGCCGGGATCACCCTGGGTCATACAATAACGAAATAGGATTGTCATACAACTATACTATGTTTCAATATGATTTAATTACTCATATAGAAACCAACTTTACCTGCTTATCAAGATGGATTGAACTTCATGATCCAATCTTTCATTTTTTTCCAACGGCAAGCATATCTACAATACTTATTTTTCAACACACGTGCAATCGAAAGATGTTCTTCACATCGTCATCATCAGGCAAACTCACCTTTTTTCATTGGGACGCTATGTAGCATAAGATAAATAATTGTGAATTTACATTCGACCACCTCTTACCAATAAGGTGTACATTTATTAGAGACTCAATTTGACGTGTATAGAGAAGACACAATTCGTTATTGTTGGAACAACTCCCTAACAATAATATGAAATTTCAAATGAGTTGGATAAAATGAACCATCAAAGTTCTCAGCATAAACTAGTATCAAATAATGATAATAGAGGTACTATACTACTCAAATAAGGGTACCATAAGCATGCGTGAGTGGTATAATTATCATCTACGAAAAAAAAATTAAAGAAAAAAACTAACATAAATGATTAATTGATATGAAGAACAACATAGAGATTATTGCTACCTTCTTGGTTTTAAGGCGAATATGAAGAACATTAATGGGAGAAAATTGATTTTTTTAAAAAATATGAAGAACAAGATTTTAGGGAAATAATTACGAGTAAAATACGAGTTCAGAATCCTCATTAAATACACACAGACCGACCACCCCACGAGTTTGTTTTGTGGGTTTTTTTTTTTCCGAAACGACAGAATTCATTAATAAAAAATACATAATTACAACCGACTCACTAGCCGGAATGGGAGGACTACCCAAGGCAGCCTAGATACCACAACGCACACTACAAAACGAACAAGAAAAAATAAAAATTCCCCATAGGAGAATACAAAAGCTCCCCAAAGGAGAATAACACAACTCCCCACATGAGAATAACACAACTCCCCAGAGGAGAAATCAAGCTCCTCCAAAAAAGGAGATATCAAAACACAATTCACAAAACAACACACCAACAAACACTACAATAACACAAAACACGAAACTATACAACACATCCAACTACACAAAATACTGCCCTTCCCACGGCTAGACTACGCACCAAGCAGGCCATAAAAGTGACACCACCGGCCGACCACCAAATTGGACCGGACCCAGGTCTAGATTTCAAACACGGAAACTGTAACTCACGCCTAACCATATCGGAAACCCGAACCCAATCCCGCACCGGACAATCGACCCCGACCCTTCAACCGAGGGACAGCGGCAAATCCCCAAACACTCCACCACCGCTCCAAGCCCGACCCACACCACGGCTCAAGCTCGGCACGCCGGCCGTCCTCTCCTCCCAAGCACCATAGGAGAAGAAGACCAAGGGGAAAAGCCACCACCCCCGGTCGACACCAACACCACGCTGCCGACACCACCACCCAACCCCGCAGCAGCACAGCAGCCCGCCACTCCTCGGCCAAGGAATTCGACGACCAACTCCCCGAGAAGGCAAGCATGGATTCACGAGATCCTTTCGGTCACGGCCAATCGAGCTCCACCGACCGAGAAACCGGGCTTTAACATAAATAAGGGTCGAATCGTGAGGCCTGGGGGCCGTCCTCCGTCATGGTGCCCGGTGGATCCGCCGGGGAAGGCGGATCTGAAAGAAATTTCCGGCGAGAGAGAGAGGATTTTTTGCTACAGTAAAAAGAGAGAGGAAAGCGGTATATTGTTTTGTGGGTTCTTGCAGCCTCTTTGATGGAATTTCTACTCCTTGAACACCTGTGTCGATTCAAGCAGGTGGGTCCAGACTTTGTTCTGGTTCCCCTGATGTCAGTTGACGTCTCGATTGTACTTCATTGAGTTTTAAGTCATAATATATTTGATGTTTCGGAAAAAAAAAAGGGTATAATTTTACAAGATATTTTTTTTTCCAAGTCAAACAAACAAATTTATATAACTCAAAGATAGATTCAAGTACAACGCATATCAAATGATTACAAAGCTAGAGATGTCCATGAAAAATTCATCACAAAGCCACGAGGAAGATTATAACTTCCCCACCAAAGACCAACCAGGTCATAAACACTAAAACAAACTAACTGCAGATAGAAAACCACAAAAATGGAATTAAAAAACTAAAATCTACATAATAACTGCAGATGCTACATGACAATCTACCCCGGCAGACAGTGAGACCGAGTTTACCGGTTCACTTTTTCCACATCAGTTACAAACGGAAGCTGACAGAAATAAAATATATCAGAATTAAAATTGATGTATCCATTCTATGTTTCAACAAAAAAATCCCAGAAAAAAAAAAAAAATAAGATTTTACCATTTTGATGTATTAAGGCAGCATCAATATTGAGCACACTCTACTTTCACCCTGAACTCCCTTCCGCACACAATAACTCACATTCACTTCTGCTATCCTTCACGCACAGAGGAATCCTCACGCCAAGCCCCCTAAGCTTCTCGACCAACTCGTAAAGAAACTCAAATGTTAGCTTTGACTGTTTATTAAGCTCGTCCCTAACCTCCGGGCAGACCCTAAACCACTCCCCCAACATCTTGTGCACGTGAGACCTCACCATCCTCCACGGGACGGGATACTCCTCGCAAAACCTCAAGTACTCGACTGCTAAATCCGCCCCATCCAAACCGCCGTTCTTAAACCCCTCACCTGACACCCACTCTCCAGTCTGGTAGCCCGCGAACAAAGCAGGGTTCTCGAGGAGGGACTCGGCTGAGAGCACTCCTTCACAGCCAGTCTCCTCCAAACATTGGTATGCGTCCTCCAGGTGACGTACATTGCCATTGGCCAGGACTGGGATTCTTAGGGCATCCCGAACAACTTTTATAGCTTGCCAGCTGGCACGAAATTTCTTTCCGTCTTTTTCGTCCCGCGTGCGTCCGTGCACAGCCAGGAGAGAGCAGCCAGCGTCCTCGAGCATCCTGGCATACTTGATGGTGTCCTCGAGATTCGGGAAGATCCTGATTTTGCATGAGACAGGCACGTTCAAGTTCTGTGCAAGTTTCTCGACTAGGGATTTGACGAGAGGGAGGTTGTCCATGAGAAAAGCTCCATAGTTGCCTCTTCTTGCTATACGCTGCGGACACCTGAATGTGAAGTATGTATAATATATAAAATGAGCGTTTTTCCGAATATACGAGTCGGTGAAGAATTTTGAAATTCAACATAGAAACTAGAATTATAAAACCCATTGTCAATGCACTTGCTGACAAATAGATTTGATATAGAAAATAAGACAACAATAACTTGATGCAGCTCAATTCAAAATAAATAAACAGCCGTACTGAAGCTAAGTCTCATTTCCAGGTAAAACGTAAAAGAAACAATGGTCATAGAA